TTTTAGTACGCTTCTCATTTTCATTTGTTTTTCATCTAATATTCATTTATTTATTTTTATATATTTGTTTTTTGCTGTATTTCAGTATAATTTCACTCAGTATAACAAAACTTTTTTCTTTTTTTTTAATCAATTTTAGATAGTTTCAGTTGAATTTCTCAATAGTTACCACTATTCAGAAATATTTGACTCTTAAATATTGTGGTTGACCATTCAGAATCAACTATTTAATATAAGCTCTTACAGTGTACACAATGAAGGAGATGCATGGACAAAGTCCAGTTTGAGCCCAAAGGTGTCACGTTGGACGGGTTGTGCTGCATGCTGAAGTCTCTTGAGGATGCTCTCTTAGATCTCCATAAATTGTGCAATTAAGCAGTCCGGCAGTGCAATCAGATCCTTCTTTCACAGGCGGACCCATGAGGACCGAGGCTGTTTATTGGCTGACAGAGAAGACAGAGCAGTATTCTAGCCACGCAGCAGGCGTGCTCAGACTGTCTGTTCATATCCTCCATCTCTCTGTGAGTCCGTATCGACGGCTCAGATTAAATGTTGCATGTGGATGTCAGTGATGAAGGACAGTTGAAGCTCTGAACGGCCCTGACCGAACGATACCACTGAGAGCAGAGGAATGCATATCACTGACGCCCCCTGTCTGTGTCTGCTGCTACTGCATACACTCATCATGCACTAGTTCATTGGTTTTGGTCACGGTAAGATCATACGTAAGGCATGTGATATCTAATCACTCATGGATTTTTATGAACTCTTATTTTCAATGACTGTAGTATAAAATATTTGGATATGTGTTAAAATCAACATGAAATAATAATAAATCACTCATCTTATGTAGCATGACTGACCAGTGCACGCTGTACGCGTTATGAAATTTGGCCAATTAAAATAAAGTTTTGCTTTTATATAAAAATAAAAATTAGGTGGTGAATAATAAGAGATTTTGAATGTCAGCTAGGTTTGGGAACTAAAAACCAATACATTTAAAAAAAAAAAAAAAAGATTCTAATTTTGGAGAATACACTACTGTTCAACAGTTTGGGGTCTGTAACATTTTAATGTTACAAAATATTTTTTAATTAAAATTAATGCTGTTCCTTTGAACTTTCTATTCATCATAGAATCCTGACAAAAATAAAAAATAATGTATCACGGTTTCCAGAAAAATATTAAGCAGCACAACTGTTTTCAACAATGATAATAATCAGAAATGTTTCTTGAGCAGCAAATCAGCATATTAGACTGATTTCTGAAGGATCATGTGACACTGAAGACTGGAGTATTGATGCTGAAAATTCAGCTTTTCATCACAGAAATAAATTAAAGTGTGTAAACACTCTTTTTGCAAGAATTGTTTGGCATTTTTATTATAGAACATCTTACATCATTTGGCAGTATAATTATATACTTTGGCAGTATATTAATAATAAATATTTTTTCCTCTAAAGTACTAAAGGAATCATTAATGGAAAATATCCAGAACAGTTGTTTACCGCTCCAGTCCTAATGACTGTTGGCTGAGATTTTGTGCAGAATTGTTAGAGTTTTGTATCCGCCGCTGAACTTTCTCTGAGCTTAGATTTTTTTGGCGGTATCAGTATGTGGTTTCCCTAAAGCCAGCACGCTGAGTCTGATCTTGACGAGAGAGCTGATCATCTCTCTGTGTTTGTTTGCTGTCAGTGATTCAGCGCGGCGTCTGCTGTGAGCCACCGGTAGGTTTCTTCACTTCTGAACGCCGCCGCACACGGTGCTCCAGAACTCACTGTGTGGGATGTTTCCAAAATGCAAAAACTTGCTCCATGTAACTTTTAAAAGACAATTGCATATCATAGTGCTGAAATATCATTGTCTTCATTGGTCTCTATTGCAGAGGAATAGCAAGCATGTTAGTCTGCTGAGTTTGCATCACAAGAATGTATATTGCCCATATTTCGGGTTAGGAATTCAAACATCTACTTAACACTAATTATACAACTGTAAATAAACATGCATGGACATTAGGCTTGCCGCGATAGACGGTGCTGATGGTGATGCCGGTGTTAAGCCGCAACACCGGTTACGTCACTTGCCCACCACGGCACCGACCCCCACCGTTGTTTTGATTTTTTTTTTTATAGTAATAAAATAATTTAGTTCAGTAAATGAACAGACACTACAAATAAAAACTGAATGCGGCTGCTCAATGAGGAGTGCCGAACGTCAGTCGCATCACAGATCAGATTTCATTTATCCAGTGAGGAGAGTGAGTCGAGCTGACTGACAAGAAGAGTGAGGTGAGACAGACAAGACGATCGCAGATGATTTAGTTTCGAAACGAATTGCAAAAGCCCGTTTGGCAGTAGGATTTTGAAAAGCCTGTTGACTTTTGCCGTTTATCTAAGGTGATTTTGGAAGGTTTTTTAAACATTTGTTTCTTATTTAATTAATTCCACAGTGTTTGCTGATTTTTACAGAATTTGGAGCATACACACTTCCAATAAGGACCCTTTCACCAAAAAGCTGGCCAACAATAAGAATGTAACGTCCTCCTGTATCTTTTATCATATCCTCAAACTTAAAATTTAACTTCTTATGAATTAAGATTGCTACTCCCCTACTGTGAGAATTACAGATCAGATTTCGTTTCTCCAGTGAGGAGAGTGAGTCGAGCTGACTGACGAGACGATCGCGGATGATTTAGTTTCGGAACTAGATGCAAAAGCGCCTGTTTGGCAATATTTTGGATTTTGAAAAGCCTGTTGACTTTTGCCTTTTATCTAAGGTGATTTTGGAAGTTTTTTTAAACATTCGTTTCTTATTTAATTGGTTCCACATTGTTTGCTGATTTTTACTTTATTTAAACTTTGTGTCATTTATTTATTTTATTTGACATTCGTTTTGTTAATAAACGTTCTACGTTTCTTATTTATTTGGTTATATATTATACATGTTTACTTATTTCCAGTTTTGTATAGGCTACCTATTTAAACTTTATGTAAGTTATTTGTTATTTTATATTAGGCATAGCTTGCCCTATAGCATGGTGTATTTTTATTTGTTTTGTTAATAAAAGTTCTATGTTTTATATGTAGGCTAAAGTGAATTTTTGACGTTTTTTTTTGTTGTTGCATTCAAGCAATTGATGCCGAATTGCCGCTAATTCGGAAGTGAAAGTAAAATGCGCACGGTGCTTTTAAGCTATTTAAAAGCGAAGGAAAGTGAGGAAAAGAGGGAAAATTCAAACGAACTAAAAACAAACAATTGCTTTACACCAAATTGCCGCTTTTTGAAAGTGAAAGTAAAAAGCGCACACCGCTTTTGCAAGCTATTTAAAAGCGAAGGAAAGCGAGGAAAAGAGGAAACGCCCCCGCCTCCACGGTGATACCGGTATTATCGGTGTTGTCACACGTCGATTAACCGGTGGGAAAATTTCCTCACCGTCACAACCCTAAAGGACATGTTATAGATATACAGATTTTTCAGTAACTCTTTCTTCAGTTTACGTTATGCCAGTAGGTTATGACAATTGACCTGTCTTTATGAGTGGGTCATTTATTCACTCAGTCGGTTCCTTCAAAAACACTGATTCATTCAGGACTAAAAAATATTTTATTCAGTCAATCACTAAATCTTTCATGCAACCAATTTGATTCATTCAGGGACAAAACAAGTGACTGTTTCTTTATGAGAAAATGATTGAATCTTTCATTCAATCATTTCAATTCATTCAGGTATGATACAAGTGACTGTCTTTATGAGTGAGAAGTTCATTGACTCAATCTATTCCTTCCAAAACACTGACTTATTCAAGAGCAAAATATATTTGTCACCTGTAAATGATTGAATCTTTCACTCAACCAATTCGATTCATTCAGGAACAAAACAAGTGACTGTCCTTATGAGAAAATGATTGAATATTTCAATCGACTGATTTTATTCACTAAAAAATAAAACAAGTGACTGTCTTCATGAGAAAATGATTAAATCTTTCACTCAACCAATTTGATTCATTTAGGAATGAAACGAGTGATTTGTTAGTAGAAATTGATTGATTCTTTCAATCGACCCATTTGATTAATTCAGGAACGAAACAAGTGACTGTCTTCATGAGTGAGAAATTCATTCATTCAATCGATTCCTTTCAAAACACTGACTTATACATGAACAAATATATATTTATCCTCTGCAAATGATTGAATCTTTCATTCAACAAATTCCATTCATTCAGGAATTAAACAAGTGATTTTATTTATTTCAAAAACACTGATTCATTCAGGAACGTTCAGGAATATATTTATCACCAGTAAATTGTTGAATTATTCACTCAACTGATTCAGTTCATTCAGGTCTTTAAGTGATTCATCGAATCATGTATTCAGCAGATTGATGTAGACACACTGAGTCATTCATTGAAACACTGGATCAGGAACGCCATTAGTGTTCTACAGTTAGTTTTGTTTTGACTTCATTTGGAACTATTTTTGTTGGCAGAGAAAAAACAGATATTAATTGGTGTCAGGTTGCTCAGTATTGACCTTCTGTTTATTGACCGGTTAAAAGCATTATCACTCATAATTGTGCATCATTTGTCTTGAGACGTGCTGTTATTCCTCCAAGCGATCTGACGAATGATTAAAAGGCGGGTTTTGCAAATAAAATTGAGTTTTTTGTGAATGTTGAAAATAATGAATGGCATAATGGCTGTTTTTGGCATTATTACGGTAATAGTAACGGTTAACACAGCTGTCACTCTGAATTGACTCTTGACAGATTGTCGCAGTCTGCAATCAAAGCGATAGAGTTCACAGTTGAGAGCAGTCACAACCTCATTGACACGCTCGGGTGCACACAACCCTGCAGTTTTCCCATCAGCCCCGCCGGACTGTCTGTTTACCTGAACCCCTGCCGAAATAAACACTCAGTCATCAGCTGCAAGTTTAACAGGTTCCCTGGCAGTCGGCTAATATATGCTAATGTTCTCAACGTCTCTCTCTTTGTGTCTTCAGATGAGAAGGAAGAGGGAATCTTGGGAAGTATCCTCCTGCCCAGCTTCCGCATCTCCATGCTGTCTGTGGACGACCACATAAGCAGGAAATACGCCTTCAAGGTCAGAGACGCATTCAGAATCTCTCAAACGTGGCCATATTTTACATATAAATGTGGTTTGGAAGAGGGCAGGTGAATAGACTGGTGAATAAAAGTTGAAACACTTCATTTAAACAGAGTTACAGTCGATAGATGTTTACTTTTAGCTTTATTGTTATAAATTACATTTTTTAAACCATCATCACATGCTTTTTCTATCATGTGAAGCAAGCCCCTGCTATTTTATTGCCCACCATTTGAAAAAGTAATTTAAATTTAATGTCATTATGAAATTTGAGGTTAATTCTACATATTGTACATTTTTAATATTCAAACATGAACTAACAATGAACAATTTATACACTCCTTTTTAAATGTTTCAGGTTGGTAAGATTTTATTTTATTTAAAAAAAATAAGTCTCTTACGCTCATCAATGCTGCATTTATTTGATCAAAAATACAGCAAAAACAGTTTTCTATTTAGATATATCTGAGAATTTCGTTTATTGCTTGGATTAAAAGCTGAATTTTCAGCATCATTAATCCAGTCTTCAGTGTCACATGATCCTTCACAAATCAGTCTAATATGCTGATTTGCTGCTCGAGAAACATTTCTGATTATTATCAATGTTGAAAAGTTTAAAAGAACGACAACACGATAATGACGAGAGCAAACTCAGTTCAATACCGTGCAGTGGGATGATCCATCGTCAGAAAGTCAGGGCAAACCATTCAAGAATGCCTGGGCTTCTCGCGGGCAATGGAATGAATGTTTCTGTCCCTCGTATGTGACGCAAAGCACGGCCGGGAATCGCATGGTGAAACGAATGTCACGCTGGATCAGCACCTCGCAAGATTTGTTGAAACTCCTACGTTTCTCCTTGACAGCAGCAGAGAAGTCCTGCTGAATGAAGACTTTCTGACCATCCACCTCCAGGTAGCGCTTGGCCTTTATAGCAGACATTATGCGTTGCTTGTCGGCAAAGTTTTGAAGTTTGATGAGCACTGGTCTCGGTCTGTCACCCCTCTGTGGGCCGAGGCTTCTGTGCGCTCGGTCGATTTTAAAGTGGCCTTTCGCGGTGTCCAGCTCAAGCACCTTTGGTAGCCATGTAGCGAAAAATGCAGAGGGCTGAGAGCCTTCAAACCCCTCTTTGAGCCCTAAGATTCGAATATTGTCTCGCCTTGACCTGTTCTCCAAGTCGTCCACCTTTTCAGATAGCATCAGCATTAACTTTTCTGTTTTTCTCAGCTTGTTTTCCGTCGAGGTCGTGGTGTCTTCCATGTCAGACACTCGGCGCTCTGCGTCGGTAATACGTTTAGTGTTGTCTTCAACGCGCTGCGAGATAGCATCCAAAACATTCGTGAATGTTGACAGTTTCTCGTCCAAAACTTTGCTGATGCACTCCGTGACTTCGCGTGTAAGCTTAAGTGAGTAGCCACATTCGCATGTGCTGCCATCCTGTGAATCAGCGTCGGCAGGCCTGCTCCGAAGATTTCGTTGGGATTTTGGACCTTTTTCAATCGGAAAAGTACCCCCGTCCTTGCTAGACATGTTGTTGTTCCCAAATATACCTCCAAACAGATGTGAAATTAACTTTTTGTCTCGTTAAAAGTCGAAAAAATGTCGAATGATGCGGGAGCTAGTCCTCCGTGCACCCTCTCAGCTTCCGTGACGTCATCGGCTCCCAGCATGGTGTATTTTTATTCGTTTTGTTAATAAAAGTTCTATGTTTTATATGTAGGCTAAAGTGAATTTTTGACGTTGTATTTTGTTGTTGCATTCAAGCAATTGATGCCGAATTGCCGCTAATTCGGAAGTGAAAGTAAAATGCGCACGGTGCTTTTAAGCTATTTAAAAGCGAAGGAAAGTGAGGAAAAGAGGGAAAATTCAAACGAACTAAAAACAAACAATTGCTTTACACCAAATTGCCGCTTTTTGAAAGTGAAAGTAAAAAGCGCACACCGCTTTTGCAAGCTATTTAAAAGCGAAGGAAAGCGAGGAAAAGAGGAAACGCCCCCGCCTCCACGGTGATACCGGTATTATCGGTGTTGTCACACGTCGATTAACCGGTGGGAAAATTTCCTCACCGTCACAACCCTAAAGGACATGTTATAGATATACAGATTTTTCAGTAACTCTTTCTTCAGTTTACGTTATGCCAGTAGGTTATGACAATTGACCTGTCTTTATGAGTGGGTCATTTATTCACTCAGTCGGTTCCTTCAAAAACACTGATTCATTCAGGACTAAAAAATATTTTATTCAGTCAATCACTAAATCTTTCATGCAACCAATTTGATTCATTCAGGGACAAAACAAGTGACTGTTTCTTTATGAGAAAATGATTGAATCTTTCATTCAATCATTTCAATTCATTCAGGTATGATACAAGTGACTGTCTTTATGAGTGAGAAGTTCATTGACTCAATCTATTCCTTCCAAAACACTGACTTATTCAAGAGCAAAATATATTTGTCACCTGTAAATGATTGAATCTTTCACTCAACCAATTCGATTCATTCAGGAACAAAACAAGTGACTGTCCTTATGAGAAAATGATTGAATATTTCAATCGACTGATTTTATTCACTAAAAAATAAAACAAGTGACTGTCTTCATGAGAAAATGATTAAATCTTTCACTCAACCAATTTGATTCATTTAGGAATGAAACGAGTGATTTGTTAGTAGAAATTGATTGATTCTTTCAATCGACCCATTTGATTAATTCAGGAACGAAACAAGTGACTGTCTTCATGAGTGAGAAATTCATTCATTCAATCGATTCCTTTCAAAACACTGACTTATACATGAACAAATATATATTTATCCTCTGCAAATGATTGAATCTTTCATTCAACAAATTCCATTCATTCAGGAATTAAACAAGTGATTTTATTTATTTCAAAAACACTGATTCATTCAGGAACGTTCAGGAATATATTTATCACCAGTAAATTGTTGAATTATTCACTCAACTGATTCAGTTCATTCAGGTCTTTAAGTGATTCATCGAATCATGTATTCAGCAGATTGATGTAGACACACTGAGTCATTCATTGAAACACTGGATCAGGAACGCCATTAGTGTTCTACAGTTAGTTTTGTTTTGACTTCATTTGGAACTATTTTTGTTGGCAGAGAAAAAACAGATATTAATTGGTGTCAGGTTGCTCAGTATTGACCTTCTGTTTATTGACCGGTTAAAAGCATTATCACTCATAATTGTGCATCATTTGTCTTGAGACGTGCTGTTATTCCTCCAAGCGATCTGACGAATGATTAAAAGGCGGGTTTTGCAAATAAAATTGAGTTTTTTGTGAATGTTGAAAATAATGAATGGCATAATGGCTGTTTTTGGCATTATTACGGTAATAGTAACGGTTAACACAGCTGTCACTCTGAATTGACTCTTGACAGATTGTCGCAGTCTGCAATCAAAGCGATAGAGTTCACAGTTGAGAGCAGTCACAACCTCATTGACACGCTCGGGTGCACACAACCCTGCAGTTTTCCCATCAGCCCCGCCGGACTGTCTGTTTACCTGAACCCCTGCCGAAATAAACACTCAGTCATCAGCTGCAAGTTTAACAGGTTCCCTGGCAGTCGGCTAATATATGCTAATGTTCTCAACGTCTCTCTCTTTGTGTCTTCAGATGAGAAGGAAGAGGGAATCTTGGGAAGTATCCTCCTGCCCAGCTTCCGCATCTCCATGCTGTCTGTGGACGACCACATAAGCAGGAAATACGCCTTCAAGGTCAGAGACGCATTCAGAATCTCTCAAACGTGGCCATATTTTACATATAAATGTGGTTTGGAAGAGGGCAGGTGAATAGACTGGTGAATAAAAGTTGAAACACTTCATTTAAACAGAGTTACAGTCGATAGATGTTTACTTTTAGCTTTATTGTTATAAATTACATTTTTTAAACCATCATCACATGCTTTTTCTATCATGTGAAGCAAGCCCCTGCTATTTTATTGCCCACCATTTGAAAAAGTAATTTAAATTTAATGTCATTATGAAATTTGAGGTTAATTCTACATATTGTACATTTTTAATATTCAAACATGAACTAACAATGAACAATTTATACACTCCTTTTTAAATGTTTCAGGTTGGTAAGATTTTATTTTATTTAAAAAAAATAAGTCTCTTACGCTCATCAATGCTGCATTTATTTGATCAAAAATACAGCAAAAACAGTTTTCTATTTAGATATATCTGAGAATTTCGTTTATTGCTTGGATTAAAAGCTGAATTTTCAGCATCATTAATCCAGTCTTCAGTGTCACATGATCCTTCACAAATCAGTCTAATATGCTGATTTGCTGCTCGAGAAACATTTCTGATTATTATCAATGTTGAAAATAATTGTGCTGCTTCAAATTTTTCTGGAATCCATGATACATTTGGTTTTTCAGGATTCTTTGATGAATAGATAATCCAAAAGAAAAGCATTTATTTGCAATAGAAATCTTTTGGAACATTTTAAATGTCTTTACTGTTACTTATGATCAATTTAATGCATCCTTGCAGAATAAAAGCATTAATTTCTTTTAAAAACAAAAACTTACTGACCACGAACTTTTGAACATGTATTTATAAATTAACCTAAACCTAGATTAATAAAATTGTGTTCATTGTTTGTTTCTGATACCAAGTTGAATTGTATTACCAAATTTTTACTTATCTAATAGCTTATAGAAACAAACCTGGTCACTTTTAGGATCCTGACTATTTCCATTAAAAGCATTATAAATATTACGCTGACTTCAGGCCAGCAAAACTTTTTAGTATTAACATGAGAATTAAAGTTTAGACCGATTTAGTCTCTCTCTGGGGTCGGATCGGTGTGTTCATTTGTGAATTTAATCAAGTCTTGAAAATAAAATCGTGCCATCCTGCTCAAGGGCGAGAGTTTGGCTCTAGTAAAACAATTATTAACTTGAGTTAGACCAGTTTCCTGACACAGGTTTTTGCTGGATGGCACTTTTCAGCTGACGCTGCATTTTTGTGTCTTGTTCTGTGATTCTCAGTGGAGTCATTTACCTATTAGTGCAGGTATTTTCATGTCGACTCATTACTTTTTCTCGATCTTATTCTCTGTTTCACAATGGTGTGGCTTGTCCTCCATGAGGATTCATGAACTTGAGCATCAACATGTTTACTAGATGGAGCTTCGCTAATATGGTGAGTCCTGATTTTGCACAATGCCACATTAACATACTTCACCACATTAACCAGGAACATCTTCATCCTTTCATTATCTAGACCTTAAAGGAATAGTTCACCCAAAAATTTACATTTGCTGAAAATTCACTCACCCTCAAGCCATCCAAGATGTAGATTAGTGTTTCTTCATCAGATTTGGAGAAATGTAGCATTCCATCACTTGCTCAACAATGGATCCTCTGCAGTGAATGGGTGCCGTCAGAATGAGAGTCCAAACAGCTGATAAAAACATCACAATAATCCACAAGTAATCCACACCAGCAATTAACGTCTTGGGAAGACAGAAGCTGCATGTTTGTAAGAAACAAATCCATAATTATAAAGACATTCTTAACTTCAAACCATTGCTTTTGGCTAAAATACGAGTCCATAATCCATAATAAGGACTCATATTTTGACCAGAAATTATGGTTTAAAGCTAAAACATCTTAATGATGGATTTGTTTCTTACAAACACACAGCTTTTGGTTTCACAATGCTAACTGATGGACTGGAGTGGTGTGGATTACTTGTGGATTATTGTGATGCTTTTATCAGCTGCTTGGACTCTCATTCTGATGGCACCCATTAAGAGTGTATCTCATAGAAATTTATTTTGTATGCTGCCTATGTAGACTGAAACATCTCACTAGGGTTTATAACAGAGTTCTTGCTAACTATTCTAAAGCGCCGAGTGTTCGCTCTTTGAAGCTTATATAAACTGTTGTGAAAGATGAGTTGTAATATCCAGACAAAAGCTGTCTAGAGTCGAGCAGTCAGACAAACTCCTGAGGAGCTCTGAACGATGGGGGTCTGTCAACTCAAATCCTCCTGACGAATTTCTGCTCACTTCAGAAAGACTACTCAAGCATTATTGCATTTTGTGCCACTGACACCAGCTAGGACACCCAAAGCAGGTATTTATTGGTATTCACTGTCCACTCTTTTTTTCCCTCAGGTTGCCGTGTTGGTTTTTCACAACTAGGCAACGCATCCAAACATGCGGACGTACTATTTCAGCACTGACACAGCCAAAGATATGGAGTCCTGGATGAAGGTTATGACAGATGCAGCATTGGTCCACTCTGAGCCAATCAGAAGGTAAGAAAACATGCTCCGGTTCACTCTGAACCAATCAAAAGGAAAACATTCAAATCCCTTGTACCACTTCAATGACATTTATAGCCGTTAATTTCAGTGTTTGTTTTCCCAGGTTAGGAGTTAGTGCAAAAAAGCAACAAAAAAAAAAAAAAGTAATTAATGATATAAATAAGTAATACTGTCAAAATACTTATAATTTTTTAATGCAAATTAATTAATAAATTTTTTTAAGCAAAAATAACAAAGAAAAAAAACCTAAAGTAGTTGTTTGTGATCAGTGAAAATTTGAGTAGTTAATCCTTTTTTTATATAAAAGATATTTTACTCAATTTGTTTTTCTGGGTTAAGAATTTTTGTTTTTGTTTTAGAAGCAAAACAAAATAAGTCTAAGTAATTAAATAATAAGTTAAATAACTGAAAAATGTAAAAGAAATAATAAATTGAAAAAAAATTGAAAAGAAAAAGAAAAGAAAAAAGTTTTTTATGATCAGTTATTATGTCAAAATGTTAATATTTTTTAAATGTATATTTTTACCCCAGTTTAAGAAGCAGTTTCTTAAAAGCAAAACAAAATATGTAATTAGTAATAACTGATGGACTGGAGTGGTGTGGATTACTTGTGGATTATTGTGATGCTTTTATCAGCTGCTTGGACTCTCATTCTGATGGCACCCATTAAGAGTGTATCTCATAGAAATTTATTTTGTATGCTGCCTATGTAGACTGAAACATCTCACTAGGGTTTATAACAGAGTTCTTGCTAACTATTCTAAAGCGCCGAGTGTTCGCTCTTTGAAGCTTATATAAACTGTTGTGAAAGATGAGTTGTAATATCCAGACAAAAACTGTCTAGAGTCGAGCAGTCAGACAAACTCCTGAGGAGCTCTGAACGATGGGGGTCTGTCAACTCAAATCCTCCTGACGAATTTCTGCTCACTTCAGAAAGACTACTCAAGCATTATTGCATTTTGTGCCACTGACACCAGCTAGGACACCCAAAGCAGGTATTTATTGGTATTCACTGTCCACTCTTTTTTTCCCTCAGGTTGCCGTGTTGGTTTTTCACAACTAGGCAACGCATCCAAACATGCGGACGTACTATTTCAGCACTGACACAGCCAAAGATATGGAGTCCTGGATGAAGGTTATGACAGATGCAGCATTGGTCCACTCTGAGCCAATCAGAAGGTAAGAAAACATGCTCCGGTTCACTCTGAACCAATCAAAAGGAAAACATTCAAATCCCTTGTACCACTTCAATGACATTTATAGCCGTTAATTTCAGTGTTTGTTTTCCCAGGTTAGGAGTTAGTGCAAAAAAGCAACAACAAAAAAAAAAAGTAATTAATGATATAAATAAGTAATACTGTCAAAATACTTATAATTTTTTAATGCAAATTAATTAATAAATTTTTTTAAGCAAAAATAACAAAGAAAAAAAACCTAAAGTAGTTGTTTGTGATCAGTGAAAATTTGAGTAGTTAATCCTTTTTTTATATAAAAGATATTTTACTCAATTTGTTTTTCTGGGTTAAGAATTTTTGTTTTTGTTTTAGAAGCAAAACAAAATAAGTCTAAGTAATTAAATAATAAGTTAAATAACTGAAAAATGTAAAAGAAATAATAAATTGAAAAAAAATTGAAAAGAAAAAGAAAAGAAAAAAGTTTTTTATGATCAGTTATTATGTCAAAATGTTAATATTTTTTAAATGTATATTTTTACCCCAGTTTAAGAAGCAGTTTCTTAAAAGCAAAACAAAATATGTAATTAGTAATATAAATAGCTTAAAATCAATAATAACAAAGAAGATGATGTAAATTGTTAAAGGGGTCATATGATGCTATTTTAAAGATCATTATTTGGTGTATTTGGTGTAACAGAATATGTTGACATGCTTTAATGTTCAAAAAACACATTATTTTTCAAATACTAGCTAATAACAAAACAGTAGCTGATTCAGAAGCGCCAGATTGTCATAGCAAAGTCAGAATTACCTCCTCTCCTAGGTTCACGAAACGGTCGTCCATAAAATGCATTGCTGTTCTGTTGTAAATTATCTTAAAGACTCCTAAATGCATCTACTTTCGGAAGGCCAAATAAAGTGCTTTTGCTTTCGCACTGTGAAATACACAGCGTCTCCCTGACATGGCTGCATTAACACTACTGCTGTTCCTGAAACCATGCCTTCTTTCTTTGCGTGCACATTTTGGGTGGCATTATGCTAATATTTCCACATAGTGACGATATGTGGGGGCGTGTTAGAACGAGGCGTTTTAGGTAGGCGTGGCTGACTCTTAACTTTTATAAAGAATATCTCTTTGGATTTGAGACTTTAGTCTTTGCAACTTTACAGATCTTCTTTATGCACCAAGAACTTGTAACACTCCAAAGAGAAAGGAAAACTTGAAATCGCATCATATGACCCCTTTAATAAATGCTTTTTTTATATAAAAATATATTTTACTTTCATTTTCCAGGTTAAGAATTATTTATATTGTTGTTAACTTGTCTTTAAGCTACCTCAGTAGAAACCACTTCAGTCACTTCAGCGTTTCCTCTTTACTCTTGGCACTCTTCATAACGGTGCTTTTGTCATACCTTTTTGAGTTTCAAGACTAGAGCCGATTCTATCCCGAGAGAGTATGACGAGCAGAGATTTTCACAGCTTTATAAGTGCAGAAGATGTTTTTGAAACTCTGTGTGTCTTGTTTGTTTCATTACAGCTTTTAGCACAATCACAGATACTGAAGAGTTCTCTCAGACTTAAACACTTGCTTTTCTTTTTTTCGGCAACAGGATCACAGCTGTGATTGAAATGGAACTGCAGCTCACTTTTCATAGAAACAAAATGACTTATTAAAAGAGAGACAAATGTTTGGTCAGAAAGAGATTGCATTTATTTAGTGTTTCAGTGGTGCTCTGTATCACGTAGTTTATGTAGTAAAGCTCTTTATAAATCTTATACATTTAGAGCAGTTGAATCTTGTTTTTAATCTGAAATGCTCGCTTGCTTCTCTCACTCACTAGCTTTTCGTTCTTTCTCTTTCTGCAGGCTTGAGAAGGTGAAGGTTGACTCACGCAGCCCTCAGGAGATGAACAACATGCTGAATCACCGAGTCCTGACCCGACCTGAGATCCAAAACAACGAGAGAAACCGTGAGACGCTCCGCCAGGAGGAGAAGAAGCAGAAAGCCGTGGACAAGCAAAAAGAGAAAGACGGCAGGGTAAGCGTGCAGAAAGATGGAGAGCGATACACTCTGCACTCAGACGCTCAGAGACTCGCTCTGCAGAAGGACGGAGACAGATACATGCTGCAGAAGGACGTGGAGAAATACGTCCTGCAGAAAGACGGAGACAAATACGCCGTCCACAAAGATGGAGAGAAGTACCTGCTGCAGAAGGATGGCCAGAAATACACGCTACACAAAGACGGAGACAAGTTCACGCTTCAGAGGGAAGGCGAAAAATACGCTCCCCCGAAAGACAGCGAGAAGATCCTGCAAAAAGAGAAAAGGTACCCTCATGGAGACAAACACATGCAGCAGAAAGACCCGGAGAAACCCGTCCCGCCGCCGCGGGAGGGCGAGAAATACGGCTTCCATAACGAGGGCGCTGTGGAGCGGCCGCTCACCAAGATCAACAGCATCAAACTCCAGCCGGCTCAAGCGGCAGCCATCGCTGCGGCTGTCTCGTCCTCCAGACAGCTCCAGTGCGCAGCGGGATCCGGGCAGTACAAGCCGGCCCAGGTCAACGGTTCTGGGGAACGAGGAGGAGACAGAAGCCCTGGAGACATGAGCAATACGATGCCCCAGTGGACGACGGTGCCGCCACAGCCGGCAGAACCAGAGCGAACCCTGAGCAGAACCAACTCCATGCAGCAGCTGGAGCAGTGGGTCCGTACGCACCGCACACGGGCCCCGGACGACGACACCAGGAGGTGAGGAAATGCATTTTATAACCCTTTAGGGGTTCATTTCAAGCTAATATTGCTTATTTTATTGCTTTATTGATTTTTTGCGTGTGTAAAGTTTAATTAATGCTCTAATTCTTTTTAGCCTTCTTTTTAGTGTGGTTGTGATGATCCCATGAGAGACTAGCTTATATGTGACTTTATAGACTACACAATAAATATGACAAACTTTACATTATAAACTACAAGCTTTACAAACCAAACGTACTACATGCTGTGCAATACACATTTTACAGTACGCACAGTACAATCTACACAATATCTACATTCTTTACTAATTAGAATATGGAACTCAGTTAAAAACTACTTGCATTACAAAGTACACAGTACATACTTTAAAAACTTAACAAACTATATGTAACGTTTTAAACATTAAAACTACTTGCATTACAAACTACATGTGACTTTGTAGACTAAGCAATAAATATTACAAAGTTACATTATGAGCTAGAAACTTTACAAACCAAACGTACTTCACGCTACACAATACACATTTTACACTACACAGTACAAACTACAGGAAACTTTACAAACTACTTTTATCACAAAGTACACAGTACACACTTTGCAAACTATATAACGTTTTAAACATTAAAACTACTTGCATTACAAACTACATGCGACTTTGTAGACTAAGCAATAAATATTACAAACTTTACATTATGAGCTAGAAACTTTACAAACCAAACGTACTACATGCTACACAATACACATTTTACACTACACAGTACAAACTACAGGAAACTTTACAAACTACTTTTATTACAAAGTACACAGTACACACTTTACAAACTTTACAAACTATATAACGTTTTAAACATTAAAACTACTTGCATTACAAACTACATGTGACTTTGTAGACTACACAATAAATATAAAAAATTGTACATTATGAACTACGAACTTGACAAACCAAACACATTGCAAATTGTACAATTTAAACGCTACACATTAAAAATTACACAATATATATTTTACAAAATGCTCACTTTGCACATCAGCTGCACAATATAAACTTTACAATCCCTGCTTGACAAACTATACAGCATGCACTTTACAAACCAAACACATTGCAAACCAAAGATACTACAAACTACATAATATGTTTTACACTACATGCTGTGCAAACTACATAATGCCTGCTTTACAAATTACTTGTATTACAATTTACACAGTACGCACTTTACATGCTTTACAAACCAAACACATTACAAACTATACGTTTTAAATGCTACACACATTGTAAACTACACAAAACTATATTTTACAAAATTTTCACTTTACAAACTATACATATTGTCAGACTCACAATACATGCTTTAAAATCTAAACACATTGCACATTATACAATTCCTTTTTTACAAACTACTTTGATTATTAATTACAGTACAAACTGCAAACTACACAATATACATTTTACAAACTACAAAATGCTCACTTTACAAGCGAAACACATTACACATTAGTTTGTAAAAGTAGGTATTTAGTTTGTAAAGTTTGTAAAGATTTTATTTTGTAGTTTATGCTTTTGACTTTTATTTGTAGTTTTTAGCATGTATATTGAGTAGCTTGTAATGTTTACCTTGTACACTTATTTTGTAGTTTGAAAAGTGTACATTACAAAACACAAACTACACTATGCACAAAATATCAACTGCATAATATATGCTTTACCATCTACACACATTACAAACTACAACATAGTTTGTGTTTAGTTTGTAAGAGCAGGATTTTGTAGTTTTTAAAGTTTGTAGTTTGTAATATTTTTGACTTTTATATGTAGTTTTTAGCTTGTATATTGTGTAGCTGATAATGTTTAGATTGTAATCTTATTATCTTGTACTTTAAGTGTATATTATGTTTGTTGTGTTTATATACCTATATATATAACTAAATATTACAAACTACACAATACAAACTTGCCAAACCGAAAACTTTACAGGTCATAAACTTTAAAGGGTTCGTTCACCCAAAAATGAAAATTCTGTCATTAATTACTCACCCTCATGTCGTTCCAAACCCGTAAGACCTTCGGTCATCTTCGGGAACACAAATTAAGATATTTTTTACTAAATCCGAGAGCTCTCTCAAAGAAAACAAAAATTGCATAATTTATTCAACAATTCTCCTCCCCGAGTTAACATCATCTGCCATTTTGGAGAGTACCATGACGCATGCGTGCGCTTTCTCCTGAACTTAAACAACGCTGATTACGTTCTGTGGAAAGCGTGCACATGCGTCGTTGTACTCTCCAAAATGGCGGAAGACGGTAACTGTATTATGTAGTTTGTAACGTTTAGTTTGTAAAATTATTTTGTAGTTTTGTAAAGTGTGGATTATGTAGTTTGTTTGTAATTTGTTATTTTGTTTTCAGAATTGTGATTTGCTTCGCACTTCTCGGCCACCGTAAGTTTATAATGTAGTCATATATGCTTCTCAAACTAAACGCATTACGAACTACACAAAATGCACTTTACAAACTACTTTACTTTTTGAGTGCATATATAGTTGTATTTTTGTACACTCCCGTCTGTCTGTCAGAAAACAAACTAGATGCTGTATCCATGCATCATTCTGTCTGTCTGAGTTTCTGAAGCATCAGGCCTCTGACAGTAGTGCCAGAGAGCAGCAGAGTGCTGTGTTTTCTCTCCCACTCTCAGTCCCCTGACACATCCGCTCCACAACAAACTCCAGCGTCTGCAGGCAGTGTTCCTGCATGAGCTCTTTATCATGACCCAACAGATATTTTTACCTCTGCCCGGTCTCAATGCCTCCGCTGGCCCGGACCGGTTGTGTGGGAGCAGCGTATGCTGTCAGGTGCTATCCTCCGTTTAACCGTGCAGTGGCAGAGTAGGAGGACGTGTGTTTGCTTTGCTTGTCTCGTCCTCCTCTCCTCTGATGAATAAGTCACGGAGCTTTCTGCTCGAGCACCACGAAAATGTGTCTCAAAGTGGATCAGAGTTGCTGTCAGTGCAGGAAGAGGAACAGGAAGGCGAGCGAGGAGAGAGAACGGCGCCATGTGTTCGTGTTATTTAAGATGCTGATTCATGCTGATTATCAAAAGGCATCGGTGAAGCGTGTCTCTGCTGTGCCTACATGCTCTTCAGAAACTATCATCAATATTTGTGCAACTCATGCACATATCGCAACTCTCGCATAAACCGCCGTCAGGCTAGTTTTTGACAGTATTTCTTGCATATGCACGTCCTGACCAATCAAAAACTTTTTCCAGACTCTCAGCAGACTGCGTGGTTGCATGCCACAATCTGTATTTATTTTCTTAGGCAGCAAACTGAATTTTAAGCTGTTTAGTTTTACCAAAACAATGCTCAAAATTCAGGACGCCATTAAAAGCAGCAAATACAAATAAAAATTCAATCACATTTGTAATCAAAGTTATTTTATTTTAGATGAGAGAACTTTGAGCAGATGTGCAGTGTCACTGTTAATTTGGTCAGCGAAATTACTTTAAAAAGATTGTTTGACTGGGTCTTTGGATTTCAACAATGATAACAAATGTGAAAGGATGATTAAATAATTTTAATTATTATACACTGATTAAACAAATTTGACAAATTTATCTTTGCACAATATTAACAATGTTTTAAAATGTTTATTGATGAAAAAAATGAGAATTTAATGTTGTATTTAATATAATAAATCTTTTGTTTAATGCAAATTGTTCAAAGTTTGTTGTTTAACGAAATTTAGTTTTAATGCATTTAAGTTTATTAAATCTTAATGCATGTTTCAATTAATATTTTAAAATACTAATACTAGTATTATAATATTTGTAGTACAATAGTATTCTAAATATTTCTCATTTGTTTAAAGTTTGTAAAAATGGTTTTTCAGTGTTGCATTTATTTTAATAAATATTTAGTTTCATGCGTGTTTTGATTAATATTTTTAAATATAATATTTATCATAAAGCTTTAAATATTTTAATTGTGTACATTTTAAAAAAAGTAGTTTTCAATGTTGTATTTTCTTTGTTTCTTTGATTATAATGAAAGCGATTATATATCAATACTCCTAGACTGTCGTGTGTTCAATTAAATAAACTGAGCGAAACTAACTGCTGTAAAATGTAAAATTAGATTAAATTAGGTTAATGTTGCCAATACCCTACACCGTGGTAGATAATTGAGCTGGTTTTCTGCATCCAGCCAACATCGTTTGGAGCTCCTCGTGTTCAGCAAATTGAGACATGACTTTTGTAGTTGTGCATCTTGGCAGTCGGAGCTCTTTATTGATTTCTGCTCTGTCAGTACAAGGGTGCACATGCCAAACCTTTTAATGGTGCCTATAAAAGTGCCAAGCCGATCTCACCAGCTCCTGGTAAAGAGTAACTCTCAGTACGGTCTTCAGAAAGTGTCCTGGCACACGTGCATCTTTTCCCTGCGTTTCCTGTTGCTGATGCATGTGCAATTATTTCTGAGCGATCGGCAGATGACGAGTGATGAAAAATTAGAGGCATTTTTAGAGGCGAGTATAAGCATGACGCTTTTATCGTATACTAATGAGTCAGTGCTTAATTATTGCCTGCAGCACAACAGGAAATCATCACAAAGTCAAAGCCGGGCCTTACGAGCATGATTGTATTATAAAACTCTCTTCTTCAAGTGGAGTTGTTTGTATATCGTTGACCTTTCTGTGACACCAATTTCTTTGTCTTCAAGCATAACATCCTACCAAATGTTGCCAATGAGCATAAATAATATTTAAATTCATGTAGAATGAATCTATATTTAATTTAATGTCTAAATGAGCATAAATGAATAAATATATAAATGAATGTGATTCACTAAAATCAAATTGACGAAAATGTTATTCACAGCATAGTGTATATTTAATTCATTTTCAAATAGAAAACAGTCATTTGAAATTTTATTTGTTTTTTACAATATTACTGTTTTTACTTTAGTTTAATTTTCATTTGATTAAAAGATTACTGGTTTTATCTTTTGATTAAAAGATAAAAACAAATTTTTTAATCAAATGAAAATTAAACCCTTTAAGTTTTTTTGGTAACAAATTAATAAATATATAAATTACTATTTGATTGACTAAAGTCAAATTCACTGAAATGTTATAGTTGTTTAAACATTTTTTTTTTTACTGTATTTTGGATCAAATGAATGCAGACTTTTATGTTTGTTTCAAAAATATTACAAAATTTTGCCGACCCCAAATTTTTCTTTTTTTTTTCAAATTCTGTTTTTTTTTGCCATTTGAATTTATCTTGATTCCAGTTTTTAATAGTTTAATTCTTCTGGTCTTCTGGTTTTTCTGCATTAAGTTTTAATGTTTTTTTTTCTTAATACTTATTTTAAAAAGCATGTCTGAATTAAGTTCATTAAAAAAAATTGGTTTCTGAAATTTTTTACAATAATAGGGCTATGAAATGTTAGAAAAGACATTCTGTATTGTGTCTTAATTTTATATTGTGTCTTAACTCAAACCTATAAAACATCAATTTATCTTTTAATTAAATTAAAATTGAACCCTTTCATTTTTCAAGTGCAGCTGGTGACTCCAATTTCTTTGTCTTCTAGCATTACGTCCTACCAAACGTTGCCGCGGAACATGCCGAGCCACCGTGCGCAGATCGTCCCACGCTATCCCGAGGGCTACCGGACGCTCCCACGTAACATGCTGCGGCCGGACAGCATCTGCAGCGTGGCGGGATCGATGTACGACCGGGCGCTGCAGCCCACGACTGCAGAGAAGCGGCGCTCCATACGGGACGACACCATGTGGCAGCTGTACGAGTGGCAGACATAATAAATATACACAGTACACTCATATTATGTAAACAAAACTTTTATTTTGGATGCGATTAATCGTTTGACAGCACTAATATATATATGTATATAATATATATAAATTATTTTCAATTATTTTCAATTATAAATGTGTAACAAATATATATAATTAAAATATATATAATTAATCAGTTAACAACTTAATACAGAGCCTTTGTCATTTTTTTCCACGTTTTGTTATGTTGCAGCCTTATGCTAAACTGCTTTAAATTCTTTTTTTTCCCACATCAATCTACACTCCATACACTATAACGGCAAAGCAAAAACAGAACTGTCACAATTTTGTAAATTTATATATATAAAAAAAAAAAAAACTGAACTAAGTACGTTGCATAAGTATTC